AGATACTGTGACTAGGTTCCAGAAGGCACACTCAAGGATGGAGGAGTGAGGGGAGGGGTAGATCAGGAGGAAGAGGCAACGGGGAGGAACAGGGAGGCTACATGCCAGCCTGGACCCTGCTCGGACCCCACTGTGGGAGCTAGGCACGTGTGCATTTCTCAAAGTTTCCTTGGTACTGTAGAGTAAATCACACAGGCTAGGGGCTGGCTGGGTTCAAGGCTGGGCTCCATCACTAGCCATCTGTGCATAGGATCTGCTCACTTCACCTCTGTCCTGCCTCCTTCTCTGTAAAAGGGAGATGACAGCAGTGCCTCCCTTTCAGAGTTGCTTGGGGATTAGGTGAGATTAACTGTGGGAAACACTTTTAACCCACCCGACCCATAACAAAGGCTCACAAGCTTCTCATGAAATATATTCTACTGTTGTTGGTTTTTTTTTGGGGGGGGTGTTTTGTTTTGTTTTCTGAGACGGTATCTCTGTGGCTTTGGAAGTTGTCCTGGAACTAGCTCTTGTAGACAGGGCTGGCCTCAAACTCAATTAGATCCACCTGCCTCTGCCTCCCGAGTGCTGGGATTAAAGGCATGTGCTACCAGCTCTACTGTTGTTATTAATAGTGTTGGATGAGGCATCAGTTACTCCTCTTTTTGCTGATAAGGCAACTAAGGAAGGAAGGGTTTTTATCCTGGCCACCGTGTGAAGGTGTGCATTCTATCATGGAACTTTCTGGCTGTGGAAGCTTCTGGCTAGGACCCCTCTTCCCCACTTCTCACATCTCAGCAGAACAGGAAACAGAATGGATCAGAAGCCAGCTACACACCTCAAGGCTTCCCCCAGCAAGCTGCTTCCTTCAGCTGCCACAAAAAGGCTCTATGGCCGCCCCAAACAGCGCCACCAACTGTGGACCACCTGTTCACACACGCAACCTGCGGGGGACATCTCATACCCAAACGGGAACTGTGTCGATCAAGCCTAGTGGGCATTCCTTCTCCGGGGGCACGCAGGAGCCTCCAGGGTTCACTCAGAAAGCTCAGGTTTTCGGCAATTATCTCAGAGCGCCTTCCGTATCCCTGACAGTTGCTCTTTCTAATCCAATTCTTCCCCTCCAAAGCTTCAGTGTGTATCTGGATAAGCTCTTTTTCGAGGCAAAAATCCATTTTCCTAGCACCAGCTGAGCCAGGCCCGGAGGGACAGCCAGGCAGAAGCAATCCAAAGTAGCCACAGTGAGGTAGCTGCTCAAGTAATGGTCCAGACCACAGCCAGCCAGTCCCCGTCACCTTTGCGCTGTTTCAGGACCATAAATCTGTAAGGAATTGTCTGTGTCATGATTCACTCCAGTGCCCCTATCCAGGGCTTCCAAACTCCTGCAAGGTCTCCTGACCAGCCCCCCCCCCCCCCCGTGCTCTCTCCCTCCCAGGAGGTTTCCCGATCTCCTGGGTTAGAAGTTTTGACCTGTCCTCTCTCGGAGAACACACAGCACAGTGACAGTCCCCCTGAATTTGAGTTGGATCTCATAATATCCCAACTCTGTTGTAAAGCTCAGAGGAGGCAAAGGTTTTTAGTTCACTTGTCTTTAGAGCACAATGTATGGTGTTTTAATTCCTAAGTCTTCTTGGGTGTGTATCTCACCCTGTAAAGTGGGAATCAAGCCCACTTTCTTACGGCTGTACTGCGACCTGTATGAAGTAGTAATGAAACTGAAACAGGAATGAGAGTGGATGTTGACTCAGGGCTCCCGTGGGCGCCGCTCTGAGTTCTTTCCAAAGCCGTTCACTCAGAATGCTTTTGAAAGCGCCGGGAATAATCATGCTGGAAGCTGCAAAAATAGCTCAGAGAAATCTCATGTGCCTCTCTCCCAGCTTTCTCCGCTGGTTACATCTCACATAAATAGAGCCTTTGTTAAGACCAGGACACTGACATTGGTCTAGCTTGTGGGTATACTTCTATGTCATATTGTGACCTGCTGGAATTGTGCCAGCAGCAATATGACAGAGCACCTCCATCCCCATACGGCTTCCCTGTGCCCTTCCCTCCAGAATCACACCACCCATTTCCCTTCCCCAATTCCCACCCCTGGAAACCACTAATATGCTTTCCATCTTTTCCACACGGCTAAGTAGAATGTCACCGGGTGACCTTTCCCACTCAACAGAATGCCCAAAATGCATCCAAGTTGAAGATTGATAATCTGCTCTCCTCCTGTTACTGCTCAGTTCTGGTCCATAGACATACAGTGGTCCCCCAATATCAAAGCCAGGGGAACTGGTGCAGGATCATCACCCTCAGCCATCAATCCCTGCTCAAATCCTGTGCTGGTCAGTTTTTACTGTCAAGTTCACACAACTTAGCCTCACGTGACAGAGTCTTAAGGATGTAGTGCATCAGGTTGGCCTGTGGGCATGTCTGTGAGAGACGACCTTGTGGGCGGCACCATTCCCTAGGCAAGGGGTCCTGCATCGTTTAAGAGAAGGAAAAGTTAGCTGAAACCAACCAAACAATCAAGTAGGCCCACATGCATTATTTCTTTGCTTTTGATCAAGGGTGTGTTGTGACTAACAGATGGAGTCCCTACCTTCACACCCTAAAATAAGGGACTGCAACTTGAATTATAAAATGAATAAACACTTTCTCCCATAAGGTGCTTTTTGTCAGAATATTTTATCACAGCAACAGAAATGAGATTAGAACAAACCCCTTGCAGAAAATGGTGTAGTAACTGCCTATAGCCTGTTGCCATTTCCTTTATATTTAAATAATTTCTACATGACTTATAATACCTTATTAATTTAATATGATTGCTATGCAAAGGGGAGTGTTATACAATACTATTTAAGGAATAATTACAAGGAAAAAAACATACAATATAAACTTTCTCCCTATCCCTGAACATTTTCAGCATACAGTTGGCTAAATTTGGGGGTCTAGGACCTACAGACATGGAAGGACTCTGGACCACCCAAGTCTCATACTTTCACCACTGGTCATCTGGCTTCTCTCTGCATTTAACTATAATATGTAAAGCTGCTCTCAGAGTTTGTATATATTCTTCATGTGAATGTAAGTCTTGGTTTCACTAGGATAAATGCCAAGAGGGCCATTGCTGGGTTACATGCTAGCTATATGTTTAGATTGTGGAGAGCAAGGCAACCTGTCTCCCAGCATGAGGGTACCACTTCTTGCCAGCAATGTGGGAACATTTAGTTAATTCAGTGTTTCCACATCTTTGCCTGATTGGGTATGGTCACTAGTTTTTATCTTAGCTGTTCTGACAGGTGTATAATGGTACCCCACTGTGGACTTACTTCCCTAGTCGCTATGCTTTTGAACCAATTTTTTCTGCTTACTGGCCATCTGTGCACCCTTTAAGGTAAAATGTCTCTCTGTGTCTTTGCCTATCTTCTGAGTGGGTAGTTTGTCATACTTTTCACGTGCTTTTTGGACATCCTCTATATATGGCAGGCAGGAGTCCTTTCCCAGTCCAAGAAGTTACACACACACCTTTCTAGCCCTCACATAAGGCTTTGAATTAGGATTGTCTCAGTCTCACACATGAGGAAGTTGAGGGAGGAAGTGGTGAGTGGCATTTGACTGTCCCCTGGGCCTGACCCTGCACTTAAGCTGAGGGTATTTGCATACTCAGGAGAAACTTGAGTAGACCTCAGTGGCATAGGAAAATTGAACCATGCACAGGACTCAGGCTGGCTCAGGGGACATGGGTACCAGCATCCACTCTGCTTCCCAATGTTGTTTACTCTATACACAAGCAGGCACTGTTACTATCTCCAACTTATAGATGAGTAAACTGAGGCTCAGAGAGCCTCACCACAAGATAAAGTTTCCACAGTCAGTCTCATTTAAGAGTCTATGCTCCTAGTTCAGGGCTTTCAAGTTTTTTTTAAAACCATAACTCCCCCATAAAAATGCATTTGATACTGAAATTCATCTCCTAAACACTGTTGCACACACATTAAAGAATTAACACCTCCACAAAACAATACTCACTCTCCCCACGTGCCATGCCCTCTGACATTTCCTCATTTTGAAGTCATGCTATTTTTAAAGTGGCATTAGTCACCCTCAGTAATGGACACGAGCCACGGTGCAGGCAGAGACAGAACTCTTGCACTTTTCGCAGGACAATGTTGGTGATGAGTATGGTGTCCTGGGCTAGCGCTGGGACTGGGACCTGGCAGGTGCCCAGAGAGGCTGATCTTTGCTTGAACTCCTCAGCAAACTGGCAGTCCCGGGCACTGCCTCCTAGGCTCCGGCACAGCCCTGGGCTGGCTCGTGTGTCTTCTATTGGAGCCCAGATTTGCCCCAGTGAGATCTACTCTGCCTCCTCCCTGGGGACAGGCACCATCTTGAACTGTCTTTCACTCCACTAGCTCCTCAGAAGTCAGCGCCTCTTTGGAAGGTGAGGTTATGCCCTGTCCCCACAATGCTGTAACTTCCTTCCCCCGCCTTTCAGTGTGGGGATTGTTCCCCTAATCAGGATGGAGACTCGACTCATTACAAGCTGGTGAGGCAACGGCTCTTCGCTCCAAGCCGAGACAGGCTGTCTGGGAGCTTGGCCAGCCTCCCACTGCCCCGGACACCAGGGCAGCGGCCTCTGCATGGAGCCAGCCTGCTGGGTTTGTCTGCCCTTTCCCCAGGGACACAAACCGACAGACACTGTTTGCTGAGACCTCTGTAGTTTTTATGATTGCAAAAATTCAGCCAAGATCATACCACGAAGTCCGAGCCTGGGGACTACCTCTGAGCAGAGCTGAATGGCACCTAGAACTAGAGGCCACCTTTCCAAGGCACTTACTGTGGTCCACACATCATGAGGAAGGCTTCCCAGGCAGCCTGGTATATAGTCTTTGACAACACACTGACTAGGTTCCGCTGACTACTCCATTCCACGGGTGCAGACATCGAGGCACAGAACGTTTTTGGAACCTGACAAGCTCTCCAGGCAGCTAGGAATTACCACCTCAGGACCCAGTGCTCAGCTCACATACCATTACTGCTTGAAGGAACGCGATCCCAAGCCTTACTTCATTAGGTTCAGCAGTCAGGTGAGTCTCCACAGGTGATGTCATACCCGTCCCATCTGGGCAGCTAGGAAGAGAAGATAAAATAAGGAATGTAGTGAATCCATTCGTAAGAGTTCCCCATGGACTTGACAGTGCCCCTCAGGTGTGACGTCAAGATCCTGAGAGGTATGGCAACCCCTGGGATTCTCATCCAGAGTTCCTGTGTACCCTGGGATTCTCACACTGTATCACCTGACTGGCACTAGTCACACTGACTTCCACACAGAAATCTCCAACATGGCAAATACCTTTTGGAGCTACAAAATGCCCTCTGGCTCCTTCCACTAGTCACAGATCCCCCTGAAGGAGATGAAGGGACAGTCCTGTGTCGACTGCAGAGCCTATGTGGAACTTCTCATTAACTGCAGTTTAATTACTGCCTGCAGTAGAGGTTTTTAATAGCAGTAAGTCCCAATTAGTCGCTTGTTACTTCAGAAATAATTACTGATAGTGGCCCTTTGTCTTTGTGTGTGTGTGTTATTTCCGGTTTCATTCCCAAGCCCCAGAAGTCTACCCAAGCGGACATCTTTAATGGAAAGAACTAGAGTTCCAGGGTGCACGAGGAATGTTTGCAGGGGCTGTGGGTTCAGCCAGGGGCATGTGTGTCAGCCTGAGGTTAGCAGTGGCCATTCTCAAGCATGAAGATATTTCTACAGGGAAGCGCCCTGGTCTCCATCCTGAACTGGGGATGGAAGGCAAAGGCATGCTACCCTCTAACTAAGGGTAGCATCTAAGGGATGCCAGCTTCTAGCTACAAACTGAGCCAGGCCCCAGCCCCTGGCCTGTGAAAGGGCAGAGTCACCACACCCTGGCAACGCCAGGCACAGCCGATGTAAGGACTGCGTTGGAGGGAGGGGAGAAAGTGTGTAGTTCCCATACCAGGGCAGAGTCCCAGCCTCAGCTGCACTTCTGACTGGCGGTTCCACAAGGACTCTCTCGAGGTAAGAGGCAGCTTTGGAATGCCACTAGGGCCTTGGAGTTCACGCTGAGCCTGTAGGTCATCTGTGTCCCTCAAGGGGCTGCCCACAGGTAAGAAGGAAGCATGGTTTTCTTGGAAGTAGCGATGGCACCGTAGCTCCAGGGAGCACCTCTTTGGCCTGACCCACTTTCATGAAACTTTGCTTTTTTAACCTTTATTCTGTTCTTAGGGGGAGCTGGTGTAGGTTTTACCAGTTGTCCACTGACAAGGTTAGTCATTAGAGATGACCTGTGTTGGTTGTCAACTCTAGGTAAAGTGCCCTTTAGGGTGGTTTACACTTATTGTTGTTGTTGCTTTGAGACAGGGTTTCTCTATGTAGTCCTGGCTGTCCTGGAACTCGATGTGTAGACCAGGCTGGCCTCGAACTCACAGAGATCCACCTACCTCTGCCTCCTGAGTGCCAGGATTAAAGGTGTGTGCCACCACACCTGGCTTATTTATTACAACTGTATAAATGCTTATTTGCACATAAGGAAACTCAAACATGCAGAAAGCTGAGTAATTTACGCAGGTCAATCAGCCTGTGGGCGTCAGAGCTCAATGCATTCCTCCCAACATCCCTCCAGAGTCAGGTACCTGGCACTCATGAGAAATACCTGACCACAGCCTCAGTCTGTGTCCCCCTGACTTCATCTGTGGCTTCTTCCTTTTTGAGTGAAGTTATTATTTTGGTCAACTGTATTCTCAGAAAGCTTCTCCTGTTTGGACCAGCTGGTTGGCTCTATCTGGAGGCCTCTGCTCTTAGCCATTCTACATTGAATGGGATGGCATGAAAACATTTGGATCCAGTTTAGGTTGTAACTCTGGCTACCCTGATTTGGAGGTGACAAAGTCCTCTTTGCCATCATCCCATCTGGGTCCTGGTCCTCCACAGTGCTCTGTTCTCCTTCCCCCACGACCAACTTGTTAAAGGAAGGACCCCTCACTGCTAAGCCAATAATTTTATTTTTCCCTCACTATAATCTTCCGTGTCTTTCACCCGAGAGTCCTTTCCAGTGAAATCCAAACCACTTGGCTGGAGGACCCTGTGAAAAAAACCCATCCTTTCTCATGTTTTCCTTCTTACCTCCTGTTCATTTCCTCCAATGGGCCAAGCCACAGCGTCGTCTCATTGTTCTGAAGCTGGGCTCCTCTGTGTTTGCAAGTTCATTTAGAAAAATCGCATGCACAAGACAAAAGCGCCTGACTTCATCCCCCACACAAGGGGTCCTTTGAAAGTGCAAAGGCCTTGAGATTAAAAAAACAGAGAGAGAGAGAGAGAGAGAGAGAGAGAGAGAGAGAGAGAGAGAGAGAGAGAGAGAGAGAGAGAGAGAGAGAGAGCAAGCAAACAAGCGTGGCTTTGAAGAGAGGAGCTGACCGGGCAGAAACAGAAACGTGTCTCATAAACCTGTCGCTGAGTTTACGTAGACGAGGGGAGCGTTTTTGTGTTTATTTTGCACTCAAGGCCCAGGGTTGCAGCATCGCCTGTGTGATGCACTCAGAGGGTGGAGCACCGGCCAGCCTCCCTTGCCAGCCAGGCTTTTGGAGGTGTCAGGTGAATGTGGGCCGCCTGAGAACAGTGTGTGGAGATCAGGCCCTCCAGTTGCCAAGCCGTGTCTCTTCCTCTGAGGCTGGTGCACCCTTAGTCTCTCTCCAGCTCTTCACTGACAGCCTATCCAGAGTCACCTCTGGGCTCTGTCCTTCCTTCCACGCTCTCCAGAATGAATGCCTCCTGACTCTGTTCTGAGCTCTCCCCACTCAGGCCCCGAGTGGAATTACTTTCACTATTGCTGTGACAAAATACTCCCCCACACACAAAAGCAAATCGAGGAAGGTTTATCTTGACTCAAAATGTGAGGAGTCCATCTTGGCGGGAAGGCACGGCGATGGCTTGCTTATATTGTGTCTGCAGTCAGGAAGCAGAGAGGTTAATACTGGGGTTTTGCTGGCCCCCTTTTTCCTCTAACTCAGATGGAGGTTTCCTAGGTGGTCCTGAGTTGTCAAGTCCACAATGAAGATGAATAGTCACAGTGTAGCATAGGGATGGGTATGGGTAGCTTGTTGGGACATACCTTGGGAAGCAGTGAGAAGGAATGGAGAGGAAGGCTGGACGGGAGAAAGCCCAGTCAGTAGTGGTTGCCTTATCTGTGCGAGCATCCCCTTTCTAAGAGGATACTGGTGGCTATGTCCCTAGGCAAAAGGACACTGTCACTACTAGTGTGTGATGATCTCTAGGTAAGACCAGTAGGTGACATCAGATGCCACATCATGTGCTAAGGCCTAACTTCTCTAACATTGTCAACAGTGAACCAAAAAGTCATCGGCAATATTAACTCAGCCCTATCCCCAGCTCTGTGGGGATCAACTTCCTTGTCCCCCCAGAGCCTTTGAGCCAGAGGCTGCTGGCCTCATCTACACTGTAGCTGCGTGTGACCTCTGTGGCCAGAAGCACTGGATTCCCAAGCGGCATTGTGGTCTGGCCCCGCTCCCCAGTCCTTCAGAACTTCAGTTTGCATTCCTGCCACGCGGCTCACACTATTATGGGGTGGTTCTGAGTGTCCAACAGGTCAGCAGCTGGCAGCAGCTGGCAGCAGCTGGGAGTTGAGCAAGCACCATGCTGACACTGATGGAGAAGCAGGAGCACAGGACAGATGTTGTCCTCAGCATGCAGCTGCAAGAGGTGAGGGCCAGAGAACACACACAGAGAAGTAGTCAACAGACAGCGTCAAAAGGGAAGACGGGCAGGTCACGTCATACAGGGTTCTAGGAAGCCTGGGTAAGACCTTGGTTTTACTCTGAGATCGATAGGGGTCAATGGGGAGGAGCTCCTGGGTCTTAAGCAGAGGCGAAACATAAATTAACAGACATTCTCTGTCTTCATCTGACTCTGCTTGCCCATGTACAGAAGAGATAGGGGTCCCCAATGGGAGAGTAGCAGGGGCCCACTGTCGTGGTCAGGACAAAGGATGGCAGGGATTTTGACTGAGGTATCGTGTGGTGTTAGACATGGCCAGATTGGGACTGTATTTTCAGTGTCGAGCTGAGAGGATTTGCAAGTGCCTTGCACATAGAAAGCGAGAAGTACCAGACGTGACTCCTAGTGAGGAGAAAGCGGGCTGTCGCTTACAGGGATGAACTGTGGATCTGGGGCAGCAGTGTGGTTCTGAGGAATTCCCAGAAACAGTTTTACAGGCAAAGAAATCAAGGCCAGCACAGGAAGCCTCTCTCTCGAGGCCAGTAAAGACTCCTGCAATGAGCCTGAAATTCAGCCATTATTCCTAACTCCTTAAGAGCATATATACTGCAGGGAAAGAAGTGTGTATCTGAACCTCAAATCTGTTTGAAATGTCGTCTTGGAAAAAGAACAATTTGCTAAATGCAGCAGCTCATGCCTATAATCCCAGTGCTTGGGAGGCTAAGGCAGGAGGATTGCTACAAGTTCAAAACTAGCTGGGTTACAGAGTGAGATCCTATCTCAAACACATGGGCCAGGGAACGTCTTGAGCCCTTAACGTAGACTCTGCTTAGATGAGAGACGGAGAATGTGAGGGAGGGAACAGGGAGGGAAGGTGTTAGCCCAGATCCCCTGCTTTGGCTGCTACTTCTCCTGGAGAGAGCCCTTTCCAAAGGCTGCCTTTTCTAAGACTGCCGTGAAAGTCCCCTCAGACAGGTGTCTTTCTTGGTGTCATCAGATGTGGGGTATTTGAAGCACAGGCAAGACTTTTTAAGCATGGGTTTGTTGATTCAGGGAGATCTTGAATGTTCTGTTAATGTGCAGCCCAGAGCAGGCAGTCCCTCTTGGAGTCCAGCAGTAGTGAGAGCTGACAGAGTGTTCCGGAAGCGCAGAGGCCTGTGGAGTCAGAACTGTGTGGACTGAGGCAAAAGATTCATGCGAGTTAGCGAGAGGTCTGCATCCGGAGCTGGTTTCGAATGCTATAATTTTATCTGAGTTCCATTGAAGAATTCAGAACTGCCTGGAGGCAGTAGAGCAGAGATCCCTGGGAGGAGCTAGCCTGATTGCAGAGTTAGAAACAATCTGTGCCCGGGCTTCCTGGCAGCCCAAGCCAGACTCCTTTGTTAGGCTGTCAAGGGCCTGTGTAGGAGCTTATTTATTTCTTTTTCTCTATTTGAAAGCATATTGGAGAGTGCATATCACCGTGTGCCGGGAGCTTGCCATAGTATCGTACTCTTCTTGCTGCATTTAACCCTCACTCCGACCACGAGAGCCAGGAGTCACACAGGTTGAGTAACCACTGTCTGAAATACTTGAATCCCAAAGTGTTTTCAAGTTTGGAGTTTGGGGATTTGGGAATTCTCCTACAGATGATACTGGTTAAGCATCCTCAGCCCAGAAAGTGAAAGTCCAAAGTGATCCAAGGTCTGAAACATCTTGAATGATATTGTAATGCTCTCATCTCAGGTTGGAGCTTTTATTATTATTATTATTTTAGGTTCTCAGTCAGGGATGCTCGGCCAGTGCCAACGTGCTTGTGGGTGAATAGACAGGCCCAGAAAGGTCAACTGGCCCCGAGGACGGGCTGGCTCTCCAGCATGGTGTCTGTGCTCCTGTCTGACCCTGTGATGCCTTGCTATGTCTCTCTTTTACACTTTCTTGGCTGCCTCCACTGAACTCTGCTCATCCCAAGTCCCAGCCTGAGCTCCCAGGGACACCCCTAGAGGCTCTTGGTGTGAATCTCACCCAGATCGCTGTCCCAGCGGCAGCTTTCCCCCAGAGGAGTCCACAGAGGGGAACCCCGAAGGCCCCAACGGGGTGAAGGCACCCTAACTTACTCTGCAAGGCTGCAGGGATGGTTTGGTTACAGAGAGCTTGTCTAACCTGATCAACGTCCTGGGTCTATCCCCAGCACTCACAAAACTAAAACAAATACCCCCTGCTAAGAGATACAGCTCCCAGAATAGCATGGAAGCTTTTTCAGACTAAAGGCGGTCCCAAAGGCAGGCTGGCAATATGGCCTTCTTACCTGAAGTCTTGGCACATGTGCAGAATCTCAGGCCCCGCCTCAGGTCTGTTGATGCTGTGACCATCTTAACAAGAGCATCACGTACACCAGTGTAAGAAAAGCGCAGATACAGCTGCACAACCCTTTGTGCCCACCCACTGAGGCCGTGTAGGAGAGGAAGGAGCGCACCCCCAATGTGTGGTCAGCTGTCTCTAGCCACACAGATTCCCCAGGGGCTACAACTGGGCTAAACACACAGATCCCACCTTTCTTCCTAGCTGGTCCCCCAGTTCTTACTCAGACAGGACCCTAGGCATGGCTTCAAAACCAAGTCCTAATCTCCCAAATGGCCTCCTTGTCTAACCCAGGAGCCCTCCCAGCTCAGAAGACAGCATGGCTGGCCCAAGGCCTCCCCAAGCCTACTCAGCCAGGCCTGGGGACAATTCTGTTCCCTCACCATCCTGAGCTCTGGGGAGGCCGTACCACACTGTTGTTGGGAGATGTCCTTGTTCCCAGCGTCATCTGAGGTGGCAGCCGTCGGGGCTCTCTGCCCGTTTGCTGGCCACGTGCCTGCCCCAGAGAAAGCGTGGCACGGGTCCCCTTGCTGGCTGACGGCACTTTAAGCTCAGCTCTCCGTTGTGAGCCTAAGAGGCCGTGAAAAGAGTAGAGCTGGGTTCAGAGCTTCTCTTGGAAGGGGAGCAGAAAAGCAGCGCCGTGGAACAGGATCTGAGGTGCAGACCCTAGCCCAGGTGTCTAATCACTGCTTAGAAGAGAATCGTAACAGCCACGGAGATGCCCCATGCTTTTGTGAACCCCCCAGGGTAATCTTCTACCAAGACACCCGACCAAGCACGAAGGTCCAGCATCTCCTTAGTCTTGTTTTCACCCAACCCGGGAGCCAGATCATGGTACTGGCTTCCTTTGATACCAGGAGTACACACATCCACACATAACACATGCTCATAAACACACATGCACTCACATGCATATTCACTCCCAGGAAGCCCAGTGCTACCCACATAGAAAAATTTCTTCTGCAAGAAACAAGGTTTCCTCCCCCTCTTTCCTCAAAGCCTGCTCTATCATTTTCCTATTGCTATGGTAACAGATTACCACCAACTGTGTGGCTGAAAACCATGCAAATGTACTCTCTTCTGGAGGTCAGAGTCCAAAGTCAAGGTGCTAGTAGGCTCTATTCCTCCTAAAGGCTTGTGTTGGGTAGAGGGAAGGAACAGAAAGTTTCTGTCTGTCTGTAAGTCTCTCTCTCTCTCTCTCTCACACACACACACACAGATACACACACTTCACAACAGGTCTGTCACTGTCTCTGTCTCAGTCTGTCTGTATGTCTCTCTCTCTCTCTCTCTCTCTCTCTCTACACACACACACACTTCACAGCAGGTCTGTCTCTGTCTCAGTCTG